TAGATCAGACTTGTAGCGATTCTCTTGTTTTCAGTTTGCCAAGCACTGGATTATAGAAATGTGCCCCCGGGCCTAGTTTCAATCTCCCTCTCAGTGTGCCCCATGGGTGGGGCTGGCATGGTGTGCTGGGGATGAAAGCCCAGCCACTGTGCTCTGCCTAAGCAGGTGCTTTAGTCTGCTGAACTATCAGGCCAGCCCTTCTCTTGCTAGATTCTAAAACCCTAAAGGCCAAATTGCCTCAGTTTGGCTAGATGGAGATTGTTGAAGCCTAGTGTGATTTTAATGAGGGTAAAGCCAGATTTTACTTCTGGGGAAATTAATTTTGTGCTTGGAGTAAGCATATTTACTGATAAGTATTTTTCACCAAAAATATCTTATAGCTGAGTCATCCCAAAGAGCCTTGGGCTTGGACAAGATAGTGGGAATATAGTTCAGTGTAGACTGTGTTACACAGGTAGGCAGAGGGGGCGCTATCAGAATTAGTTGGGGACAAGCTCAAAGAGTGCTGGGACTGAACCTTGATGGGAAGAATAGATAATCATTTGGGACTAAGTAGTTAGGATCTGTTATGAGGGGAAGGAGAAAGTTTAGGGCAGGAAATAGCAGGGCATAGCAACTCTGCCAAGGCATGTGATTTAAGGCTATATATGTATGTGCACTTGTGTACATGTGCCTACTCCACTGTTGAAAGGAGTAGGGAGTGGTGGGAATAGTTTGAGGTGGTTTGGGCTCACAGCACACCCTGCTTTTTCTTATTTGATATGAGATTGTTAACTTCTTAGAGCCCTCAGTCTCTCTCTTTAGTGTCCTGCTCTCTGAAAAGTTATTGAGTCATACCTTCTTGGACCTTCCAGAAACCAAGGGCCTAGAATCCACTTCAGACTTCCTGTGTCTTCATGGAATTAAGAGCAAGGGAAAAAAGTAGCCTTAGCTTCCTTCTGATGTGAAGCCTTCCCTCTGTCTCAAGGTAGAAAATGCTGTGGATGGACTATAAAAACCGATGTAATTTTCCTGGCTAGCCCTGTGGTTATCAGCAAGTCACTTGCTTTTTCAGAGAAGTTCTGGTTTGGATTACATTTTGGATTTTAATCCTGTGAAGATAGGCAATAGATATTTGAGAACTTTTGGTAACAACATTGTATTAAAATGGACATATCATATGATTGGGCCACCATGGCAGAGTAGAGTGCCAAGAGAGGCACCACAGGAAGAGTGAGCTTTTCTATCTATCAGCCGCACAGGATTGTCATCGGCATTTCCATCACTATCACTATCTCATTAAATCCCATTACACATCACTATCTCATTAAATATATAAAATTCAGTGTAGCCTTATGAGTAAAGAACTCTTGAGGGCCAGGGATTTAATTCAGTGGTACAATGCCTTTCTGGCAAGCATGAGGTCCTGAGTTTGATTCCTAAAAACAAACAAACAAACAAACAAACAAACAGACAAAAAAACTCTGAATAAAAATAAAAGGCTCTATTTGGTCTACACCTTTTCCATATTTGTGAAATATAGCTAATAACTTCTGTCCTCTAGGCTTTTTCTAAATTCTAGTCTTGTTAGTTTCCTCCCAAAAACCTTCATTGGTTCCTTGGTCTGTACCAAATTATGTTTTCTCATCCTAGCTTTTACATCTTTCCAAGTTTGAAGACAATATTTATAATGAACGTTTGTATAGTATTTTATAGTTTCTGGTATTAATGTAAATATGGTTTAGTACTATGAAACTTGTTATTCACTACATTAAAACATTAAAAGCAACTATACATCATTATCTCATTAAATATATAAAACTATTTGATAAAATTCAGTGTAACCTTATGATTAAAGAACTCTGGGGGCCAGAGATTTAGTTCAGTGGTGCAACGCCTTTCTGGCAAGCGTGACGTCCTGAGTTTGATTGAAAAAAAAAAAAAAAACAACAACTCTGAATAAAAATAAAAGGGAATTTTCTTAACCTGATAGGCTTCATTTATAACAAAAATTCTACAGCAAACATATATAATGAGGAAACACTAGGGACCTTTATAAAGTTAGGAACATGACAAGAATATTCACCATCACTCTTTTAGTTTGATATTGTATGATCTCCTAGCCATTAAAAAATTTCTTTCGAAAAATAGAGCACAGGAGAGGAAAAGCTCTGGTTTTATAGTTGGAATATATCTTAGTGGTACAGTGCTTACTTTGGCAGTATATCCAGGTAATATTATGTCTACATAGAACATGTGATTGACTCTATAGGCAACTAGAAATTGCCCATATGAATAACAGTGGCCAACTTCTGCAAATTAATTGTCTTTTTAAACTATAACGAACATAAAATATACTTTAAAAGATTCAAATTCTGTTATAAAATAGTAAAACTAGCATACTTTGAATAAATCTAATCAAGTATGTATAATATGTGCCTATGGAAAAAAAAATAGAAAAATTTGAATGATATTAAAGAGGACTTAAGTGGAGAGAGAGCCTATGTTCATGAATAGGAAGGCATATCAAAAAGATATTGGTTCTATCCTAATTGATCTATAAGTTCAAGTAGTTTCTGTCAAACTCCTATCAGGGTGTTTGTTATTTGACAAGCTGATAATTGGAGTTTACATGAAAGAGTAAAGAAATAAATAGTCAAGATATATCTAAAGAATAACAATGGGATTGGGAAATTGTGTGATCAAACATCAGGTCTTATTTTAAAGCTGCAGAAATAATGTCCTCATATAAAGATGGACAAACCAAATCAGTGGAAAGGGTTGAAGTATCCAAATATAGATTCCTGTACATTTGGAAATTTAATTTATGACCTAAGGTGAAAAGACAGATGAGTGGGAAGAATAAGAAGTATCAACAAATTGAACTTACAGAAAAAAATTAAATCTTGATTTCAACTCATAGAAATCAATATCAAATAAAACAAGTTTAAATTTCAAGAGCAAAAATGTTAAATTTTCAGTAGAAAATAAAAATTATTATCTTTCTGGTTTTGAAGTAGAAAATAAAAATTTTTGTCTTTCTGGTTTTGAAATGAAGAAGAGCAGTAACTAGAAAGAAATTGTGCTGTGGGATTTCTTGACATTTTCATCTTTGCTGGATGTTTCTGCCCTCTCCATCACATTTTCTGACTTGAGATTTTCTTTTTCTTTTTTGGCAGAACCGGGGATTGAACTCAGGCCCTTGCACTTGCCAGGCAAGCGCTTATTCTACTGAGCCATCTCTCTGGCCCCTTTGAGATTTTCTTTAAGTACTTAAATTGCAGAACTCTCATCATCTTTTTGGTATATCTCTTAGTACTTATCTTCTCTGCTCAATTAATTTCTCAGAATCCAAACAGTCCTGGTGTCCGATATCTATGACTTACATTTGGATTACATTTGAAAGTAGGTGAGAAAGCCAAAAGAGGAGTCTTTTAGAACGATGTGAGCTGTGGGTCTGCCCTGATATTCATATTTGAATTTTGGAACAGTTATGAATGTCAAAATGCAATCTATGGAGATCCTGGGGCTTTGAAACATTCTCTTAGCTGTGGCAGACCCTTTGTCTATCCACTTTGTAGGGCTAGAATGTAAGCATAGATAGAGTCCCAGTAGGGAAAATCAGGGGAAAGCCATCAGCATCCCTGATTTAGTGTAAACTGTAGGTCCCCAAACCTACACAAGGGGAGGTGGTTCTATTTTTCTACTAGCAAAACAAAGCTTAGTCTTGTCCAAATAGTGGTAATTCTATGGTCCCAAAGTTTACCTTAGAGCTACCTACTAGTTTCTTCACCAGTGTGGGAAGAAGATCCTTTCCTTGCTCATTCTTTTTTTTCCTCCTTCCTATCTCCCTATCCCCAGAAGGCATGTTCAGGAGTAGGTGGGCAGCTGTCTGGTGTCCCACAGAGATCTGAGTAATTTTTTTTCTTGATTTCAGTAGAGAGGGTGTTGAGGTTATGGGTGACTCTCACTTGTTATCCCCTGCTTGCTTAGTCTATAACAGCCTTTTCTCTACAGCTGTAGAACTGTAGTCCTTTGTCTTTCTGTAGCATTGCAGTTCCTTAGAAAGGCTCATTCTTGTTCCACTGTTCTCTATACCATAGGGGATATGATCCTTCTATATATAAAGCTTTTTTTTTTTTTTTCTGGAACCGGGGATTGAACTCAGCCCCTTGAGCTTGCCAGGGAAGCGCTTATTCCATTGAGCCATCTCCCTGGCCCAATATGATCCTTCTAAAGCACAGATTTGTTCATCTGTTTCCTGTCCCACTTCTCTGTTTGGGTCTTTGATTTCTTCTTATTGTTTCAGAAAAAGATCCAAACTCCAAGATAGTCTCTTTCTGAGTTCTCTTTTAGTTTTTTTACTGAATGGCCAGTACTTTAAACACACTGCTCTTTGTCCTCTTTTTCTCTTTGTACATATTGTCTTCTCTGCCTTTCCATCTTTGGTTTTGCCTGGCTAATTTCTACTCTTCAGGTTTTTGCCTCTAGGAAGTTTTCCTTCAACCTGGTGTCACTGTGATAGCTTCTTATTCCCTATTCTTCTGTAGCTCCCATAGGTAAAATACTGAGGATAAGATATTTGAATGTTTACTTGGCTTTCTTCTCTCCTAAACTGTAAGCTTTGTGAGGGTTGGCATGGTGCTTTTATTTGTTTCCTTTAAATTTAAATACAGTGGCTGGCACATTAAATGTTAACTGAACGAACACCCTTGTGTAGTGAATAATAGAGTATATAGTCTCCCTCAGTTTTGGTGGTGGTGGTGGAGATGGAGCATGAGGACCTCCTACAAAGTCACATAGTACTTTGTGGAAAAGCTGGGTTGGAGCCTGGCTTCTGTTAGAGAAATGCCATTTGCATTGGAAGATCCTACAGAAATACTTTGCCTGGTAGGTCTGTGGTCAGGTGATCAGGCTAACAGTTGCCACCAGGAGTGGTATCTGGACCTATGACAGCTAAATGACTGGTGTGTACCAGTGTGTGATCTCTCTTTCCCCTCCCTTTTCCTTCCTGTTCACAGCATCAAGCCAAACTCCCAGCCTCTGACACAGGCTGGAGATGATGAGAAGAGCCAGAGGACAATCACCATCAACCCTGCCCACATGGGGAAGGCCTTCAAGGTCATGAATGAACTGCGGAGGTACTTTTCCTATCTTGTCTGTGCCTTTTCAGAACTTGCAGAGTGAGCTTCACCAGGGAGAGAGAACAGAAGTCAGAACACCACCACTGAGTGAATTCTGACTCTTTCCCCACCCACTCAGTCACTTGTCTTTCCCTTTCAAATTCTGAGGCGAAATGGCTTTGCTGGAAATCTCTCTTTCCTTTGTATTTTTTTTTTTTTTTAACACCTATCATTTTAGTGATTAATCACAGGGGAAAACTCCTTTGTGGTTACAGCTGGTCTGTTCATAAACTTGGTTTCCAGCTGCTTGAAAACCAATAAAAGAATGATTACAGCACCGACACAGAATTGCAGATGTAAGACTGTGGATGTCATAGATAATCTTTTGGTCTCCCTCTCTTATCCCATGGCTCAAGTTTAGCTGGTTAAGATAGTCACTTGGGTGGAAGAATACTGAGCTCCTTAAGTGCAGTTTATCAAGAAAGAAATGAAACACAAATGGACTCATCTACTCCTAACTGAATGGTGAGGCTATTTGTAAGATCAGCGTGCCTGTGGGATAAGCTTGTTGCAAGACAGGGTCAGGGCACTGAACGTGTTTTTCTGTATGAAGCTTGTGAATGCAATCTCTTCCTTACCGGAGTGCACAGAAACTTCCTGTGCCCTTGCTATTATGTGTTTACTACATTCTTCATCCTGTTGTAAAGGCTACTTGTTTACCTCCTTTTTTCCTCTATAGCTTATAAGCTCCTTTTGGGAAGGGACAACTTCTGAGTGATTTTGGTTTCTAGAACCTGGCGCTTTATAGGTTCTTTGAGTCATTCATCAGTGAGGTCCACAAAGCACTAGCTAGGCCTTGCATGGGGCTGGTGGGATACACAAAGTCAGAAATATAAATAGATCAATGATCATTCTTTTCTTCCATAATTTTATTGATAAACAAATAGCAATGAGACAGTTTCAAATCAAATTGGTAGGACAGTTTCAATAATTAACACATTGCATACATTCTTCCTAGTGGTTAATTGCTTTGTAAGATGCGGACATGATATCCTATTTACAAACACCATTAGAACAAATCCCTCTATTCATTAAGAGAATGTAACTATATATCTATCCTAACCACTTTGAATATACAGATACAAAATGGACATATATCTGTATACCCTTTTTTTTGTTAAGTTCTGTTATTTTAATATTATAGGTGTGTAAACTCAGCAAAATATTCTAGAAGAGTCCAGTAGCCCATAATAGTATTGGGTCTTCCGTTTGACTGGCAATGTCAGAAATTGTTGACCTGAGTCCCCTACAGCTCAACATAACAGCATGGCTTACTTCTTTTTTAAAAATATGGAACGCTTCACGAATTTGTGTGTCATCCTTGCGCAGGGGTCATGGTAATCTCTGTATCGTTCCAATTTTAGTATATGTGCTGCCGAAGCGAGCACAATAATCTTTCCATATAGAAAAATAGAAGGTAGGTAGTAGGAAACAGAGAGAGACAGGGAAGAGAGAGGGGGTGGAGAGAGAGAGAGAGAGAGAGAGAGAGAGAGAGAGAGAGAGAGAGAGAGAAAGAGATCTCTTTTGATGGACCAAGGGCAGGGCATGGAGGGAGAGGGAGGCAGAAAAGGGGAAGGAGATGAAAATAGAATTCAGATGTGTTATGTATACCTACCAGCTTCCCACAATGAATGTAATCATTATGCATTGTAAATGTATACTAAAAATAAAAATTAAAAAGGCAATGATAGGTATTTGAAGGAGGAATCCATCAGATGTCCGGCAGGTGGTAAGAATAAGTAACAGCTTATTTCTTAAGTGGTGTAAGTATATTGGATAAAGTTTGGAGAAAACTTCTTAAAGAGGGGTGATGCTTGTGCTGAATTTTGAAGGATAAGTGAGAGTTAAAGACCTGATGGTTTGTGAGGGAGGGAGAAGCGTTGTAGGCAGAGAAAATGGCCCAAAAGTGTTTTTCGAATGAGAGATTGAACTACTTTTAAATAAAAGTTCCATCTGATTCTGTATTTTGTCATTTTTCCTTTGTGCATGGCTCAGTCTTTGGCACTAAAGATAAAGTTAAATTAAGTTTGTTTTATGTTCTACTGCTCAATTTTTATTAGGCTTCCTGCCAGATTTCCTCGAAGCTCTGTTTGTAGCTGCCTTAGTCATCAGCTGGGGCTGATGTTTGTGTCTATGGGCATGGTTCCTTTGTCAGGAAATAATTTGTGATGTATTCCCTAGGCATTGTTGGAGTTCCCTGTTTAGGTTTTTTGAGCATGACTTGGGTCCTTTATCTGATTCAGGCATTTAGTTCTCTCACCAGCAGCCAATTCATGTGAGGACTGACTGGGAGAGCGTGGGGAATGAACATGTACACGGGATTCTCTGCATCCACTTTCTCTTATTAGCCTCTTCATTTTTTAAATATCTTAAAAAATAGGATAAAGAATTCTATGCTTCTCATGTTTGCACATAAGTCCAAAAATCTCACCATATACAACCTTGAAGCAGGACTGTCCCACAGTATTCCTTTTCCTGTCTCTTGCTTTCATTCACCACCCCCTTCTTCTTGAACATCCACCTACCCGAGAGACATCTTAGCAGTAACTGGCATGTCATGACAAGCAGCCCGTGTTCAGAATACCACAATGACAGGCACTCCCAATATGAAACCACTATTACAAATTACCATCTGCAGTGCAGTAGCTTCCAGTAGAAAAGTATGAAGATGAAATATAGGAAGTAAAGCCATGTTGTTATGTTGAGCTGTGGGGGACTCACGTCAATAATTTCTGACATTGCCAATTAAACAGAAGACCCAATGCTATTATGGGCTTCTGTACTCTTTTAGAATATTTTGCTGAGTTTACACACCTATAATATTCAACAACGGAACTTAAAAAAAAATTGGGGTATAACTATGAATGTCCATTTTGTATCTGTGTATTCAAAGTGGTTGGGATAGATATATAGTTGCATTCTCTTAATGAATAGAATGATTTTTTCTAATGGTGTTTGTAAGTAGGATCACAAGTCTGCATCTTGTACAGCAATTAACCACTAAGAAGAATATATGCAGTGTATTATTTGTTGAAACTGTACTTTCGATTTGATTTGAAACTGTCTCATTGCTATATGTTTATCAATAAAACTTTGAAAAGAAAATATATATATATATATATATATATCCTAAGTCCTCATTGCTTTTGTTATAAGTTACTAGGTTTTTGTGTCTTGATAAGCTTGCAGCAAGCTTATCACTGATGTGGATTTAATCTACTCTAATAGTCCTGCTGCTTTAAATGAGTTTGAAAAATCCTATCTACTACACCTTCTTTGAGCTCAGTAGTATATATAGAATGTTAAGCATCCTCAGAAGTACTGCAGTAAACTTGTTTGTTGAGCCACACATACTTGACTATAAAGTCCTGTTTAGTTGTTTTTATGTATAGATTGTTTTGTGCAACTTGTTTTATAAAACACTATTCCAAATACCAGACAAAGCCCTTTTCTGAAACTGAAGTGAATAATCTTGTTTGTCTGTTTTTTTAAATGGACCACAATGTGTATATACGTGGGAAATTCTTAGTTCAGGTTTAGGTATGGAGTTCTCCTTCAATCTTTACTTTTCATAAAAGGAATTTCTTTATTTCTTTAATTCATTGTCTTTTTGAGACAGGGTTTCACTATGCAGTTCAGGCTGGGTTTGAATTCACTTTGTAGTCCACGCTGGCCTCAAACTCCTAACAATCCCCTTCCTGTGCCTTCTGATTACAGATTACAGGCTGGGCTTATAGGCATGTGCTACCACTGCCCGTGAGGAATGTATTTATTGAGGAACATTTAGGAAATACAGATAAACAGGAAATAATCTATAATTTTAATACCACTAGTAACACTTTGGAGAGGTTGTTTTTTGAGTATATGTCTACATCTAATTTTGTCTGTTTCTCTCTTTTTTTGGTACCAGAAATAGAACTCAGGACCTTGTGCTTGCCAGGCAGATGCTGTATTGCTGAGCTGTATCCCTAGACCTCTAGTTTTATCTCTTAGCCCTTTGTTGGACACATTTTTCTATACCATTGTTCTATATTAAATGGATACCTGTTATTTTACTTTTGATGTATTTTAAAACACACACTTCCTTGTTGGATATCTAGGTTTTCCTAATTCCTCATATAAAAATGCCTACAATAGTTATTTTTGTTACAATGTAATGTAGTGGTCATGGCATAGACTCTAGTTTCAAATCTTGGCTGTAGTTCTTACCAATTCTTTGACTCTAAGCAAATTAGTCTGACTGACCTTGCTTTGGTGTAGCATAAAAGGGGACTAATAATAGTACTAGTCTTTTTTTTTTTTTTTTTTTGCATTTCAGGAAGGGTCTACAGGATGTTTAGAGTCTCACTACTAGATTGGACTCATAGTGATCTGCCTGTTTACAGCCTCCCAAGAGCTGGGATTACAGGTGTGTTCCACCATGCCCAGTCTCAATTGCTATCTCAGTACATCCAGGGGGAGGGCCAGCACTGCAAGCCCAGGGATTGAGCCACTGGCCCTGTGCCTGCTTGTAGGTGTTGTAGCTATTTGGCTGGCCTAATAGTACTAGTTTTATTAATAAATAAATTAATGAATAAAGTACTCAGAAAAGTGAAAGCCCATATATTACTATTATTAAATATTTTTACACATTCATAATTATTTCTATCATACTAATTCCTAGAGGTAGAATTAGTTATTTCATAAATAATATAGTTATTTTGTAATTAACATAATAAGTATTCTTTAGATATTAACGTGAGACCTTGATACACAATGATATTCTGTGTTAGCTAGTTGCTGGTAACTACTGATTGTGGTGTAAGTGCTGCACTGGGTTGCAGGAATTTGGCAGTAAAAATGAGAATCAAAATCTTGCCCTCAAAAAAAAAAAAATCTTGCCCTCAGTGAAGCTTGTATTCTTATGGTATTCAAAAACTTGACCAAATTCCAAGGTATCTCAATGGCAAACTTTAAAA